AAAAAAAAAAAAAGCAGGAGTTGATCCAGGATGAAATGTTTGTGCTGGAGTTTTAAGTCACATACTGTCTTTTATCTTCTGTGACTGCATTAAGGGTTCTTAGTTCCTGTTGTAAGGCTGGGTCCTGTGACTGCTTGGCCTCAATATTTTGCTGCTTACAAAGGACTGATTACAAAATTTGCTGTTTACAGAGGACTGTGTGGGGGTAAGAAGATGCCTGCTCTGAAAAGAAAATAGAAACTGGGAAAATAAGTGGGAGAGGGATGATCATCTTTCTCCTCCCCTCCCTCCCCCCCACCCCCCCAAAACATTTTATACAACAAGCCTTGTCAGAGAAAACTGGCATAGCAATGTTCCTAATATTGCAGATCTCAGATTTGTTCTTGATCATATGGAACCCTGTTTTCAAGACTTCTGCCTCTTTGCGTGTTCATCTGCTTGTGGATTTAACCTCTGTAGAAGATGAGCCCACTTAAAAAGTCAACGCAGAGAGTAAAATGCAGTATGCCCATAGAGGCATTCACGACCAAGTACTTATAACCCGGAAATGAAGCGAAGATCAAATACTTAGATCCTGACTTGTAGATGAGCCAATTTAGCATACAATTCCACCAGCTCAAAGCTGCAGCAAGACATGTTTTATAAAAGACAGAACTGGTAGGGAAATCCTGGTTAGCAGAAGAATGGCTTTTGTGACTACTCATAACCTTGTAATGTAAGTCTACTAAACTAGTTCAAATTCTACTTTAAGCTCAAATTCTATAGAAATCTGTTCCAAAGCCACTCTTCCCTGCTTGAAAATAACCATTAGAAATTTATCCTCATTTGTTATTGTGCCAGCAATGTCCTTTAGCTTATAACCTCCCCCCCAACCATTTTCTCTTCCATATGTTTATAAGACAGTCCATCTTGATATTCATTCTGCCAGGCCAAGCAAGCAATCTTTCGGTGTACTGTTGTAGAAGATATTCTACTCTGAAAAGTAATTCATACAAGACATACAGTGCATTTCCATGTTAGTTTTCTCTCCAAGTGCCCAAAAAATTCAGTCCCATCTGTAAAATATTTTTCCAAATGAAAAACCTGTAAACTGCAAATAAATATTATGTTAAATTAAGTTTGACTTGTAGGATAGATAAGTTTACTACAGGGGCAAAGAGGAGAAATAGAAGACCGTAACAAAAACACCCCGTGCTCAGGTTTATTAGACTATGACCTATGTAAGCTGTAAAATATTGATTAGGAAGGGAATCTAATATTACTTCTTCAAACACCTCAACAGACTTGTCTATGCACATGCATGCAGAAGCACAGGAAGGAGTAAGTTTTGGCAGAGGAGTACGTGAGAAAATAACGCCTCTTATCTCTCTGCTAGTGAGCTATGCTCACACAACTGTGCAAAAATCAGAGCTACAAAAAAAGGCAAAAATAGGTGAAGCAACAGTATAGCCTCCCAAGAAACCATGCTGCAGATGGCACAACACAGATGAAACCACAAAGGCCAGCACTCCTCAGAGGGGTTTCCAGAATAGCTCAAAATGGTTATAAGGTCCTTAGGCCGCATGATTCCCACTGGCTTGGCAGCCGAAACCTATTTTTCAGTACTTCAGTCCATCTTTCCTCGCTCAGCGCTGTACAGCTAGAAAAAGCTAGGGTGAATTTCAGATTCTGTCATCAAACAACGACTACCTTCTATGGCCGGGTATGATACAGTTCTACATTAATTATGTCCCAAATACATTTATTACTATGAGTGAATATATTAAGGCTTTTTATTAAATAGATGGATTGAGATGATCAGCTTCCCCTTTTAAAGATGATCTATAGAGAGACTGAGATGAAATTTCTATTCCATCTTTTTAGACCTTCACAGTCTTATGCAAACAATTAAAACTTAGAACATTTACATCTAAGTCATCCTTTTTATTAACTACGTGTATTTAGAGATAGCCGGAATCACAGAATCGTTTAGGTTGGAAGGGACCTCTGCAGATCATCTAGTCCAACCTCCCTGTTCAAGCAGGGACCTCTAGAGCATATTGCCCAGGATCACATCCAGACGGGTTTTGAATATCTCCAGCGAAGGAGACTCCACTACCCCTCTGGGCAACCTGTTCCAGTGCTCTGTCACCCTCACAGTCAAGAAGTTTTTTCTCAGGTTTAGGTGAAACTTCCTGTGGTTAAGTTCCTGCCCGTCGCCTCTTGTCCTGTTGCTGGGCACCACGGAGAAGAGATTGGCCTCATCCTCTTGACACTCCCCCTTCAGATACTTACACACGTTTATGAGATCGCCTCTCAATCTTCTCTTCTCCAGGCTGAACAGGCCCAGCTCTTGCTTGGAAGTTCTATAAATCTTTTTAAAACTGTGTGTTGAACAGATCTTTCAAGGTATATGACTTCTTGCGTACTTATTTCAGACCATTTTTGTGCTAGAAGACATTCTCCGTTTTAAAGTACCCTCCTACTAACAAATTTTTGTTATGGTCAAGAACTTTAAGCATGCCTTTAACTGAAAAACAACTGTAAATGAAGTCAAGGGCAATTTGTTAAGCAGAGGGTGTTATCTGTCTTAAGGTAACCAGTGGTTTTGGAGATACTTGCATATATTCCAACACCTTCCACTCATCTCTCTGCATAACTCTTTGCACTAGAGAATTGGATTTTTTGAGCAACTGTGGTTCTCGCGTCTTTACAAAGGTCATAAAAAGAGCGTACAGATGACTCACCTCTCAGGCCTATCAGAAAACCAAAATCTAAGCAAAACTGCAAAATAAGACAAGGAGGTGGATCAGCTACAGAATACTTATGGAATTGTCGGTTGCTAGACAAAATATCTTCAAATAGTTGCATTCATGTATTCCACATACATACCACAAAACAAGTACCAGATGAGAGAAAGATTTTTGCATGAAATTCCAATGGGCAGACAGGAATCTCACGCAGTTCGGCAAAGAGGAGTGCAAAGTCCTGCACATAGCGTACAATAACTCCATGCACAAGCACATGTTGGGGGCTGACTGTCTGGAGAGCAGCTTGGCAGAGAAGGACCTGGGGGTCCTGGTAGACAATAAGTTGACCATGGGCCAACAACGCCCATAGAAAGCCAACAGCATCCCAGGCTGCATTAGGCAGAGCTGGGCTCCCCGGTACAAGAGAGACATGGACATATTGGAGAGAGTCCAGCAAAGGGCCACAAAGAGGAGGAAGGGACTGGAGCATCTCTCATATGAGAGGAGGCTGAGAGAGCTGGGACTGCTTAGTCTGGAGGGGAGAGGAGGGGAGGGGAATCTTATCAGTGGGCTTAAATACCTGATAGGAGGGTGTAAAGAGGAGGTGGTCAGACTCTTCTCAGTGGTGCCCCATGACAGGACAAGAGGCAATGGGCACAAACTGAAACATGGGAAGTTCCACTTCAACGTAAAGAAAACACTTCTTCAAACACTTCTTCACTGTGAGGGTGGTTGAACGCTGGAACAGGTTGCCCACAGAGGTAGTGGAGTCTCCATCCTTGGAGATGCTCAAAACCCAATGAGACACGGTCTTGGGCAACCTGCTGTAGCTGACCCTGCTTGAGCAGGGGGGTTGGACCAGATGATCCCCAGAGGTCCCTGCCAACCCCAACTATCCTGTGATTCTGTGTCTAAGAATTGTCATAGGTAGGTAACACCTCCTGTGGGAGCCTGTTTCACAGTTGCGTGACTAAATATAGGCAAAATAGCCCTACAGCTATCTAGCAGGGACTTCCAAGAAAAAAAAATGTAAATGCAAGTTGAATCACAGTAGAACATGTTCTTAAAGCAAGTGAAGACTAACTAATCTGTTGCCAATACAGCTTATGCGCTCCAAGTAGAAACAATTAACCTACCTTACTGTAACCCTTTTCATATCGATATGGAGAGCCAATGATCTAAAAACTAACACACCTCCCAAAATCAGTTAGTTCAGAGACAGAAAATACATGGAGGCAGATATGACTTTTTTTATTACTACTACTAGATAGCTACATTATCTCAGCAAGGCTATAGGAAAGAACTGAATTATATTCTTTGCATCATGAAATGAAAATGTTAAATATCGGTTAAGATTTTTGCACTTTTTGTCTAAGTGACATAAGGGAATAACAACTGAAAACTGAAAAAAAACTAAAACACTGAAAACAAAGTAGCATATTCCAAAATGACAGAAGTTGGCTTTTTCAGAAGGACCAAAGCATGAAATATGCAGGGTCAAATTCACTCCTGTCACCAACGGTTTCACAGTTGCATAGATATAGCTGAAAAGAATTGGGTCTTCAAAATTCGGAATACCAGATGTGCCACACAAACCAGAAAGAACCCAAGTTCAACATTCCGAGCCCAAGCAATTAAAAATATCTTTAAAGTTGCAAACGAGGCAAATACTATTTGAAAACTGATAAACCTGGAAACCACTAAGGCAGAGCTGATTTTCAGGATGGAACTAACGCTTCAGAATGCGCTCATCAATTTACCATATGCTTCCCCTCCTTCTCATTTGAGCTGTCAGCATCTGCCCTAAAGAGACAAACCATCTCCTTATCAATATTTATCTCCAGGCAAGGTTTTTCTTAATCTTTGCACTGCTGCTCTATGTAAAATGGCACTACTCAAATTCGGCATCTGTTTGATTAGTGACATCTCCCACCATGTAACTGCTGATGTTAGCTTTCTGCCTGCTTCCCTAGCTTAAACTAATAGGCTCTTATGGTGACACAGCTGCAGAGCGGTATATGAACTGAAACAAAGTTCAGATTCTCATCTCTACTGAGGACACGAAGACGGCCCTCAAAAGCCCAGTGATTTTCTTGGTACGCTGCTTCTTGCATTGTTCCTCATACTTTACATTACACAGCAGAGTATATGCCTGTATAGTGCTGTAAGTCTTATTACTGCTTCAGCTATTCAGGACACCCCTACACTTTTCAGAACTCTAAATTGAAACCTCAGTTACTAGAATCATCTCCACTTGACTTTAAACAAAAGCATTCGCTAAATCCCTAGTATGCTTTGGATCAGCAATTTGTAACTGATTAATCAATTCCTTTACAAAACATTAGCTGTTTTTAAAACATTTCTTTAAAATGAGCGACATGCAAAATCTTAACTAAAAATAACAATCTAATGACAAATCAGCAGGAGAGGAACATTTTTAGAAAACTTACAGTAACTCAGCCCAGTTGCGATGCAGTTCCCTGCAAATGAAAATACAAAGCAGAATCCGATTCTGCTTAATGAAGAATCGGGGTTAGAATAGGGACAGCATGGCTATGTAAAACATTAGTGCCTCACCAGACAAAGGAAGAAGCCTTGACAGAGAAAGTGTTATTCACTTTGACCTCTTTTTGAAATGGCTTTATAAGTCACATAGTTTGATTTTCAGAATGCACAGCACTCACAGTCCTGAACAGCTTCACCATGAAACCCAGTGGCTCATGTATTTTATAAAGTATTCACTTCAGATTTTAACCTAGATAAAAATATTTATATTTATCTCGGATTATACTTATATCTGATGACAGGTCAACAGCTTCTCCATTCCGACATCTTAAAGGCCATGCATGCAGATGCAGAAAAAAATTATTTTATTCATACGTATCCCTTCCTCATAATTTTTTTTCTCTAAGATTTGGAGTCTGTAGAAAAAAAATGGGTATGCTACAAAATGAATGCCAGGAGTTAACCTGTTCAGTTCCCCTACAGATTTTACTCTTGATATTCACAAAGGTCAAGCTGAGAGGAAAAGGGTTCTGCCTGGCCAATCAGCAGGGAAACGGCAGTAACTGCAAGCTCATCTTTCTGTTGGGCTCCCGGCTGGGTGATGTTGACAGAAGGCTCGAATGCAACTGGTGGACAAGCGACTGGATGGGTGAGCAAGTTCCACGCTGGGCTTGGAGCGGAATTCCTGCTTCATGGTCTTATTTGAGATGGAAGAAGGGACAGATTCTAGGCTGGAGGCTACAGTAATATAAGTAGCAGGTTCACAAATTTAAGTCTGAGCTGGACTCAGAGCAGAATCTCAAGAGGCATACAGTCCAAGGACTGTTGCGTAAGGGATAGCCTGGATACGGACCTGGGAGCTGTGGAAATACTGTAATAGCAGCCCAACACCCGACCAATTTTATAAGTTTGGGATAAAAGAAGGAGGAGGAAGAGAGATGGCATTACTCTATTAATAATTTCGTGGAGATACTACTAACCTAAGGAAGCAGAATAAATGGGCATGCCTCTAGCTTTTGCTCAAGTTACAGAGGCAAGGTCCAGCAGGAAAGGTGAGGGTCTGTGTCAATGTGGGATCAGCTTGCTGGGATGCAGTATTGAGATTTGGGGAAAACACTCCTCGATATACAGGTACCTTGATCCACATTTGAGTCTGCATTGCAAATGGGACTGCGAGGACCTAAGGCTCTTAACTAAGACCTCCTTGGGCTTTGGACGGTAGGGTGTAAAATTAGCTGTCTAGTTCTGTAAAAGTCAGCTTGAGTTCAGCAAGGTGCCACTGACCCATAGCTAACAAGCTCTGACAAACCCAAGCTGACGTTTCTGCGTTAAAGCTGCTTAGTACATCTTTTTGTACTTGCTTGTTTGCTTTTTTCCCCACTCATTATCTGCCAGCTAAGAGACAGTTGATCACGGACGTCTGAAGTTATGCTGGTTTGGCCATAAGAAACTGGTTGGAAAGAAATTGGTCCTTGTGTTTGAAAAGAGCCCGTACGCTTGTTAACTAACTTTTTCAAACTACCTTTAAAACTAAGTAGAGAAAAGATTATGAAAGCGTACCCAGCTGGAGGCTAAGCCACCAGCTTGTAAAACAATCTTTAAAAACCACAGTCCGTCGAGATTTTCATTTTCATCCAAAATTCCAGCAATACAATAAATAAATACATACATCAGTATACAGTCATACAAAGCAGAGACTGCACTGTTAGTATTGCTTTAGTGCTTAGACTAATAATTTTGATCTGACACAAAATCAGTAAGCCAATAGGCATCTCCGAGTGTTAAATGTTATTTCTTATGTAGTAAAAATCAACTTACAAGCTTTCCTCAAAGACTTTCACCTTTTCGCAGCCTTCTGGAGGTTCACGCTTGAACATGTAGCTGTTATTGGGCTTTGGTGAGGTAGCGTATTTTGGCAGGGGAGAATTATTCCCATTCTCTGCAGGAACACAGTTTCCAATTACTTAAATGTGTCACACTATAAAAAACAAGACCTATCTAAAAAATGCCCCCAAAATTCAAACTCACTTCAGTATCAGTGTTATAAAATAGAAGAAACCTTTTCATTCACCTGCCAGTCTTCACTTGTAAATAAGCTTTCCTATCTCAATCCCTTCCCTCCCTTTCATTTTTCCTTATACCATTCTCAGATCCCCCTGCAAGCTCCATTCCTTCCCTGACACACTCAGTTTATAACTGCACACCTGAGGTCTGGGGTCCTGCACTCCCATCATCTAGCCAAAAGAGGAGCCATATTCCTTAAAAAACAGAATAGGTTTCTGGTGAATTATGTAGTTGTCTTATTTATAGCTCAGAAAGTTTCCGATTAAAAAAAAGAAAAAAAAAAAACCGCTACATTTGCGGGAGGAGGCAAGAGAGAGAAACGCTGGAAGGTGGAAGTTACTCACTTTGGCCTAGATCATAACAAACCCCTGACCGAGCCAACGGCACAAGTATACTTTGCTGTTCCACCTGCCACTGCACACTCTTTTTTCCCCAATTTCCTGTTTAAGATACTTAAAGAATATATTATTTAAAAACAAAAAAATGTCATTTGGGAAGCACATTCCTCTCTCATATCTATGCAACTTCAGCTACAGAACACTAGATATGAGTGCACGTGCACATGCACAATACTTGGAGGAATTGGGAAAAAAAAGATCACCTACAAAGAATAAAAAAAAAATCTACCATTTCTCCATGAACATGAGAAACAAACCCAACTCTTTTACAACATGTTCATTTACATAGCAGTAAGTTAAAGTTTTGCAGTGTTGCAAATGGCCATGAACTTAAAGTTGCACAGTACCTTTATCTCTGGAGTCAGCAAGAAGATCATCTGTAGAACATGGACTTTCCTCACTGCCCTCGTTAGAGATGGTGAGAAATGAGGTTGGAGATACCGACTGGGAACGGCTGCTGTTATTACTACCTCTGTCTGCTCCACCAGGTGTCTGGGTATCAATGCTGCGAGTACTACTACTACGCTGAACCAATGGAGGTGGGGCACGGTGCCCATCCGGAATATCTTGGGGCTGTTAAAAATAAAGGCATCAGATTGTATCAGATGGCTGCTCTCATTTGGTTAGCAATTTCTCTAAACCCAGTAGTGCTGAGGGGTTTTTCTCCCTGTTTCATAAACCTGTTTGAAGTAGAAAATTTTGTTCATTACCCAAGACTCCGCCAGAAGATAAAAATCAGTCAGGTTTGAAAACTTAAGAACAAACACCAATAGTTTTTAACATTTCTGATACAGTTTATCTTCAGGGATTTTTAGAGGTAAATTTAGTAATAGAAGAAAGTAAATGAAAAATGGAAGAGTTATGCTTCATCCGAGGAGGGATGGGAACCTCTCTTCAGCACAGCACAAAGAGGAAAAAAAAGTTACTACAGAAACTCTCAAAATAGATCTGAAACTCTCAAAATAGATCTTTCGACTTTTTCTCTGTCGTTTTACTGAGCTTTCTTATTTCATTGGGAATGTAACTACATCAGAGTAATCACAAAGAAAAAGGTTCAGCTTCAAGCTTTAACCCGTTTTGCTTTCCCAGAGACCTTTCAAAAACTTATATTAGGGAAACAAAATTAATTCCAGAAAAATATACTTCAAAAACTGTGCAAAATAAAGCTTATGACTTAAAACCTCAAAGCGAGAGAATAAAATATTTTCAAGGATGATCATGTTGGCAGATACATACAACAAGCTGTTCTTCTTTGTCTCCTGTCTCCTTAATTATTATCTCAATCTCTTGATTCAGTCCTTCTATGCTGTTTCGGAATCGTGATCCTGTTGATTTGGTAATAGGTATCACAGGAACAAGAGCACTCTTTGGAACGGGAGCCTGAAGAACAACAGACAGTGAGAAAGCGATGTAAATTTACTTACAAAACACAGTTAATATTTCTACTTAAAAGTCAACCTTTAACCAGAACACATCTGTTCCTAAATATCAAGGACTTAAATGAAACTGTAACAAGCATGTTAAAATAGATGCCTTTAAATAAGGACACAGACATTCAAAAACTTCTTCAAATCTAATTTGTAGCAGGAAAAACTTTCAAAAAATCTGTTCTCTAAACTTTCCTTGATATGGTCTGCCTCCCACCCAACATTGCTTTACAAGTGAAAACTTAACAATAAATACTCAGATTTAAGTAAGACAAATCTTTTAGCCACAGAGCTTTTAGAAATATATTCCCGCTCCCTTTGAAATGAGCTGTATCACAATTTCACTTTCCTCTCCATTGGATTTACTGTTTGTAACTTTGTTATGATTCTGTTTTAATGGCAGTCTGCAGTCACCTATAGTGCTATGGCAAGAGCAAAAGGAAAAATTATTCCATAAATGTAAGACTGCACTATATTAGAAATAAAGACTTGAAATAGCCACTTAAAGCGGCCTCCTCTTAGTTCAGTTCAATTTTCAGAAAGACAGTAGATTTCTAGGAGACGTCTAGATTTCTCGGAACATTGATAAAACAAGAAAAAAGTTCTAGCATGTTGCGCTGCGTCCTACTAATGAAAAATTACTGCAATAATTTTTTTTTTTTTTTTTTAAAGTGTCAACTCTTCCTCGGCATATCTTCCTCAGCTACCAAGCAAGGGTGTTGATCATCATCATTGTGGAAGTTGTACGTACAACTTGCATTATTGGTCTATTAGCAAAAAGGCTGAATAAACAGTTGTAAAGATTATAAAGCAACCACAACTGAATTCGGTGAAATTCAGTACTTAAGAAAGTACGCTCAGCTACTACAGCACAAAATTTTGAAGCGCTTTGCAATGTTAAAAGAGACAATACTTATGTTGAAAACACTATTTTTGTACAAATGCAAGGCCAAACCATTAGTTTTGTGCAATCAGAGTTTTGAAAATCGTAGTCGCTATCCCAATCTGTCACCAAATACCTGTGAAACTCTCTGGCAGAGTCCTGTTTCTCTCTGGTTCCACTGAAAAGGGATATTCACTACTGCTGATACTGATACTTCACTTAGTTTTTAAGGCAACCATTGCAGGAGCTACAGAGGTTTTCCTCCTATTCTCCACCACGCATTACATATAAAAGGCTGCCTGTGCCTTTTGTCAAGCTCTTTCACACACAGCACTGATCTGTACCATGGGTTACCAGCTTCCTGACTAGATTCATACAGGACCTCTGATTCTTCAGAAGAACCCTGGAATTACAAAAGCTTGACAGCATAAGACCCTTGGAATTTTTTTGGCATAATCTCATCACAGAATAGGCTGGATACGGCAGCCTCTCACCAAATCTTCTCATCAAAAGACTGGTCTGACCACTCAAAAAGAGAGTCTACTCTGAATGTAGCCAAACACACCAAGACAGTAACTACATTGAGCCAGAGTAGAATGCTAACAGAACAATTTAGGAAGACAACCACAGAAAGAACAGAATCCCAAACCCATGTGATAATAGACAACTGCTTCAGAGTGAAGATTAACATTTTAAAATTACATGTTTTAAAGTACGCATACAATAACTCCATCCTCTAGACCTCAAAAAACATGTTACCGAAGTTTTAAAAAAATCCTTTCTGGTACACCAAAACATACTTTTGAGATATCCCATCCTCTCCATTAGCATTCCTCCCCTTTCCGAAATCATTTTACCCAACACATTAGAAGACATTCTGCTCTAAATTTCAACCCAGAGTCTTGGTGATTAAGGTGATATTGGTGATGCAGGGTGATATAAAAGATGATGGAATGCTTCCTGCAAAGCACTTCAACTCAAAGAAGAATATGACATTTATAAAAGTCACATTAAAATCCCTGGTTAGTTCAGCATCAGTTAGTACAGCCCTAGTGGGCTGCAGCTGAGAACATCTCCTCTACTGGCTGAGGCAAGGTAGCATCCACACTTGGTCTTCACAGAACCTTGTTTTTTTCCAAGATTGTGCATAGATGGAAATGAAAGCATTGCTACTTTCCATGAGAATTCTTAAAACTTGCATCAGATTCATGTGGCAGAAAAACTACTTTAGAACAATGAATTTAAAAAGTAGAATTCTATGCACAGATACGTACCATCACGTAGACTTACTCTCACACTTAACTACAAATCTTTAAGATGGGAATACACTTAAGTATACTATTTTTGTTTTACTGAAACATTAGCATAGCCATAAAAAAAGACTTGCCCAATGACTGCAAAAGCTTCTATTCAGGAAAAGTTTGTGACTCATTTTTTAAGTCAACAAAAACTAAAAATTCTCAGAATGGCCAAACTTGAGAAAGGCTTTCAAATGTCTTGCCTGAAGATGAAAAAGAGAAAACAGAAAGCACTGGAGAAGAGCATGAAAATCTTCTGAGAAAGCAACCCTCCTAATTCTGCACAAAAGGAGGCCTTGGATCAACAGTCAGGTAAATCAAGACAGTACAAGCTGGGGGCCAACGAACCGGAAAGCAGCTTTGCAGAGAAGGGCCCGGGGGTCCTGGTAGACAATAAGTTGACCATGGGCCAGCAATGCACCATCGCGGCAAAGAAGGCCAATGGCATCACAGGCTGCATTAGGCAGAGCGTTGCCACCCCAACTAGTCTGTGATTTTGAGGTCAAATCTATTCATAATTCAGGTGCAATAAGCACAAGTTTAGGCACTAATACAGACTGATTACACACCCAGTGAATACAAATACACGTTCTTGTGACATACTGAACTTGTTAAAAAGCATAAAGCAGTGGTAGTATCCTAGAGTGTCTAAAATTTCAGCTTTTGTTAGCAAAACATGGGAATTCTCCATCTTTTAACCCTGCTTGCCTGCCACAGAAATTCCCAGAGTCATAGACATACCATTTAAAGAGCTCAAAGCAGCAAAGCACGATTTCCTCAAGTAAAGACCAGTTAAGGTCCAATACTGCATCCTTCACTTCCAGCAGGAAATAATATTCTGTTCATGACTGAAGATGACTTGATAATCCTAAGTACTTGAGGGTAGGAGGAGAAGCAGGCACTGCTACAGGGGTGGAGCAAACAGCCTCAAAACAAGAGCCTTCATATTAGAGATACTAGAAGTCTGCATGGAGCTGGTCCCTGGCATATAGGAACAGGCCCTAAGGATGCCACATCAGCAGACGCGGGAATGCACAAAACCAAGCAAGGTGTCAAACACAGGATAACAATTACACTGCTTACATAATAATACATTTTCAGAGAGTTTTGATGCAGGACAGTTAAAAGAGTTCTGAAACTTATGGGTATGGCATAAAGCCGTAAGGTATGAAATACAGGAGGTGACAAATTTAAATTGTTCACAAGCGTTTTGGAGAAGACAAAGGCCGTAAGCTCCTCCAATTCTTCAACAAGCAACAAAGCTTGAAATAGAATCCAAGGCTTTTTGATGCTTTCATACATTGACATCAAACCACCTTCGAGGATGAACAACACTAGTGGTTGGTTTGTTAGGAACAGCCTATGGGTAAGATACTATGGAAATATGCTTCCCAAGAAACAAAGAAGAGGGCTTGAGGGTTCAAAACATCTAGTACTAGCAAAGCCTCAGCCAAGTGCACTGAAAAAAAATTATTATTTTAAAAAACTTAGTCCACTTATTATTCCTCAGCTCTGCCCTCCTTTCTAGCTTCTCCACTACGTTAACACTGAGACTAAAGGAAGAACCCACTGATCTGACTCCTGTTTACAGCCTTACTACCATAGAATTAAATCAAAGTCCAATATTCTTGGAAGCATCCCGAGATCACCTGAGGAGGTACCTTTCTGCAAACCTCTCTTCCTGTAAAAAGAGGCAGAATGGAACATTGGTGGCATTAAAAAAAAAATCAATTGCTTTTGAAAAAAATATACAGACAGCAGTAAGTACTTGATTAAGTTCATCACCAATTATTTCCTGATTCTGAGTAGAGGAATAGGAATAGCTAATAAGCTTATTTTATAAAGATTTCTGTGGGTTTATTTCTTTAAAAATCATAGAAGCACAACAAAACCACTCAGTGGGAGGTTAGGCAGCAAGAACCACTGTAAAAACTTTGGTAAAACTTGAGAAGTTGTGGAAAAGCTTAAGTGTATATTAGTAAGGCAGAAGAAAGGAAATAAATTCACCAAATTCTTCTTTTAGTCTCAACTAGAAAAATCAGTCATTTCCACAAGGTCACATAGTTTACCTGGGCTGTGTGAAAAGACTATCAAGGCAACGTCCTAATGCTCTCAGCCTTGGCAAAAGTCCAATTCCTTGAGCTCAGAAATCTTCATACGACCCACTACAGTCAGCAACTGCATGCTTTCTTCACACAGGGAACATAAAAAAAATAAATTCTAAACATTCTAATCACTAACTGCAAGTGCTTCCACACAGTCTTTCCCACAAACCGTGAAAGAACTGAGCTGCTGCCAGAAATTCCAGTTTAGCAGTTCCCTAGAAAGAAACTAAAAAGCCTAGAAAGAGCGCTTGATGCTGGCAGTTACAGCTTTTCACTCTGACTTAGAAAGCAGCCTCTAAACGCCATTAACTAACCCTCTGCTTACTCCTTTTGAAGCCTTCTGCAACCCTCCTCCCTTCCAAGTGGCCTGAGACAGCTGACACAAAATTTATTAACAAGGTCCTGGAAAAATTGCTTTGTCTCTGTTGATATTTTATGATCCGTTTCACAAGACCAAACACTAATTACCCATTGTGTGATTTTTTTTTTATTTGCATACTTCAACATTTGACAGAAAGCAAAAAATCTTCATAAAAAAGGTAAAATTTCATGAGCAGAATAACAATGTCATTATGATGCTGAAGGTATTTATATACAGAATTTTTATTTGGTATTTTTCAGAGTAGTAGCCAACAACTTATTTATAATAGCCAATAACACATTTTCAATAATAATCAAAAAAGGAAAAAAGTTATCTATGTAAAAGTGACAATAGCTTAACAAGCAGAAATTTACAGAGTCGTAGGCTACCAGGCCAGACCCATTAGATTACACACAATTCTTCAATGTAGTGACGTACCTAAACCAAATATTCCTCAGTTTTAAATATTTTTGTTGTTGAAATACATCAATTCCCTGCAAGTACAGAACAAATCTTCAAACAGGTTCTACAAATTCAGAAAAAATACTTGCATCAAGTATTTTGACTAGCATGTTCCTCCTAACTCAATTGCTCTTTCCAGGAAAATGAAGTCTCTCATCAGTCTTCAGAAATTTTCTCAAAATGATTCAAGACAGGAATTAGGTCACTTCTTTGTTTTTATTCCCCTTTCAGCATTTTGGACTATTCCGACTTGAGCTACAGTAGTCACTAAGCTTCGCAGCATGCTCTACTAGGTCTGTACTCTAGCAAACCAGATGAAGATGTAGGGATTTGTACTAGACTCTTGTTTCAAATCTAAACTATTCTCCTTTCTTGTTTCTAGGCTAATATTCTGCTACGCAGACGCAGAGGAGAAAATAGTTGCTGTTTGTAGATTTACAGCTATGTGCCGTAATTCTAGTAAAGCCTGGTTTTAATTTCTTTCGATATGAAGAGTTTGTGAAAAGTTAGAAAAGACCACGAAATTGTGCTCTGCAAGAAGTTAGTACTTAAATATCACTAACAGTATTTAGGCTGAAAACCAGCTTCTAACTCCACAGAGTAAGACTACCAAACAGTTATAATGACAAGATTTAGAATTCTTCAGAAGCTTCTACTGTTGACTGAATTCTTTTTAGACCAAGTTAAAAAGTTTTGATTGAATTAAAGAACACTTCTATTTAAATTATGAGCACTAATTAGGAAAAAAAAAAAAATAGATGCACTAATTAATAAAACCACTACAGCAGTGGGAAGAAGGCAAACTGAAACTCTCAGTACTTCCTTACTTATAATTCTTGCTGTGGATGTCAAAAAGCTCTCATGGGTCAGACTCTAACAATCATCACGAAAATTCTGTCTTGGTTTCTCAAAACAAACTAAGTTTTTTAAAAAATTAATTCTTAAATTGTGATGCAAAAATATAATCCTAAAAAAATCCTAAATATAACACTTCTGGCAGCACAGAATTTGAGCTTATAAAAAATTGAACTCAAGTGCACTTACCTCCTTAAAATTCAAAGCGCCTAATTAAATGAACTATTCCAGGGATGTTAGGATTGGAGACAGAAAGATAACGCTGTTGCTTTCTATACATACTAGGAATTAAGAACAGCAGCGCAGGAGAAATTCAAAACATGGTTCTACTCTCTTATTTCCATTCTTGAAGCCTAATGGATTCGTTCAGACTTCAGACTTTCATCCACAAAAGAACCTGGCTGCTCAGGACTGCATAGTCGTCCTTTCTACTTTTTATTTCCTTCTTTATGAGCATGAGTCCGTTTGTATACCTGTAGCATACATGGACATACGCTGATGGAGCAACAGTTCCCCTCCCCAACCCAAATTATTTCAGTAAGGATGGACAGAACGAAAGGAAAGGAAGCAGCCTTAATTAACTGGTATCAAAATGTACTTATTGGAACAACACTAACTGCATTTTAGAAGTAATTGGAAATATTATTAGATTTGTGGAGAAGCTGCACTGTTGAAGTCCTTTCCCTATTTATAGCTTCGACAGTTCCACAGTTTCTTTCAACCAGGTTGACTCGTAAGGCAATTGTGAGGTATTTGCTCTTTTTGTGACAGTTAAACAAAAAACTGTTCTCTCTCAAATATATTCGTGAGATATCAGTGGGAAAAAAAATTACTTCTGAAAAGACTGATCAAGCTTTGCTATTGATTTTCTTAAAGTTGCTCAAGCAAAAGAGAGCTGAAAAAGGATTTACATGTTTGAAAGCCTCTAATTTTTTCCACCTACTATCAACTGAGCTAAAAATATCACCTTTCTGTGAACCAGGCCTCATTAACAGTTTTGAGATAAAACCACAACTGCAAACCAGACATGTAGTGCCATAACCATCACATAATTTTCATAGTGGCTACTACTCAAAGCCTCAAGGCATGATGAAATCACAGAGAAAATGTTACAAAGGCTGAGGTTGAATGCAGTCATCAAGAGGACAAACACTTTTGAGAGAGCAACCACGTAAAAAAAAAAAAGTTGAATAGCATTTTGTCAGTTAAGCTCTCTGAACCAGTTCATCATAAGATTAGACAAGTGCTACCGCCAGGACATGCGGTCAACATAAATTACAATTTCATTTGAGTCAACATCATTTTACCACCAATTTGCTCCATGACATACCTTCTCCACAAAATTCACAACTGTTACAGCAACTCTTTATGAAAAAGATGAATCAATGGCTTTAGATTAAACTTATCCACGTCATCCTTTCATAGGGTCTGCAGAATACATTTTAAGAGTCTTCCTTTAAAAAAAAAGATCTACCTGTTTGAAATTCTTTCAAAGTCAGAGTTATGCAGCGAGATAACCTAGCCAAGTAACAAAAAGATCCTGCACTTAAGGCACGCCAGGAGGCCAAAGGAAATGGATCCATTTCATAGAAGTCACCTTTAGCTACAGCATATTTAGATGTACTGAGTTCCCTTAAAAAAACCATAATCTTGAACAGACTTAAAAACAGTATTAGCCACCCATTATGTCCAAAAAGATAGCATAACCTTACCTGACTATGGTTAATGGCTGCATGGTTACCATGAAATGGAGACTGTCTTTCTTTATCCCGATGATGCCTACTGCTATGTTTGCTTCTCTGCAACTGTTGACGTAATTTTGCAATCTAATAAAGGAAAAACGCACGTTAGGTTTTACCAGATAGATTCAGATATACATAGAGTTTCGCCAGTTTATTTGGTCGCTTTTCTAAGGCCCCTTTACCACCAGAATTTTCATAATTATCGCCAGCGTTAAATTAAACTTAAGTTCCTGCAAAAGTAACAAAGTTAGATACCAGTTCAATTACAGGCCAGGAGATATTTCCTGAAGTTTAATGAAAGTATTTGAAATATATAAAATTTGAAAATAATTAGGTCACTGCTGGATTTCTTCTTCTGCTGAAGAATGTCACCCACATTTGATACTTTCTTTCCCACACACCGAAGTTAAAATTTTAAGCCCTGTACTGTTATAAGAGATCAAAGTCAAATGAACAGGTAAAATATATTTTAGGTTATTTTCTACCAAGCCCAAGCTTTACATAATACAACAAAATGGTACAACATTCATGCCTTCCTGAAGACTCAAGGCAACAGTGCATGCTAGCAACACACTTCACCCAAAAGCGTATCAAATCATAACATTCCTGACCTCCTTGAGTTGATCTGTGCTGCCCCACGACGCTGAACGTTTGTGTGAGCTTCTCTTCTTTTCTAAATATTCTTCAGCCCAGGCACTTTCTGTCTACAGCAAGAGGATCACCAGATTAATTACAAAAAAGATCATTTCTACTCTCTGGAAGAAATAGTTTGAGACACATCAGAAAATCTTAACGCGGTTCTCTCTTCCAGACATAGAACCGTGAGTGAAAAGCGGTCACTGAACAGAAGCCTTTCTGGCAAGTAAAGTATGAAAAAGTGGAGAGAAACTATATATTTAAAAATTGTCAGACCTCTTCTAGCATGGGAATATGCAAGTTTCCTTTCCACATTATTGTACAGTGGTAAAGCAGTATTAACAGCCAGCTGTATCACAAGCTACTAGAGAGCACTGAAGAACCAATAGGACACTGCTGAAGTTGAGGGGAGGGTCCTGCACAGATGCTGACCTTGTTACTTCTGATGCATCAGTAAAAATAGCTTGGTGTAATTTATGGGAAATCCTGTACCAATAAAGCTTCAAAATCATGTTCATACGCAGAAGAATGAGACAGTGACTTCCTTTAAAGCCTCACTGCTACAGGGCAATCCTTAGCATGCAACAGCATCCAGTGGCGACCTGGCTGTCTCAGCCTTAGGAGTCACTGATGTCTCACTTTCTCCTACAGATAGGAACTTCGATTGCCTCCGAGCCTCCAAATCCAAGATGTTCAACAGTTGTTTAGGATTATGTTTAGACAACATCTAGGACTAACAGCTTGCAAGCCGCAAGCTGACTGCTTACCCATCTATTTACAGAACACACAAACTTGTGATATTAATCCTTGTTTTCCAGGGAAAACAGAGATGTAACTCTCTGAACACACAGACTGCACTTGCACTGACTTCAATTACAGATGGAAGTTTCACATAAATGAAATCTCCACTATCAACAGTTTTTCATATCCATGAATCCAAATCAGCAACTAACCAGAACAAATTTGAATAGCAAGTCAATAGGGTTGAATAGGAATTTCCTAGCAAAATCAGAATCCATTTGTCCAGAGATGTTTACGTTAACCATAGAATCGGTCTTTCACACCATAAAATCCCATGTACGTTTTCCAACTTCAGCAACTTGATCAAAATAGAGTAATTGACAAACCCCATTGCCCAACTCATGATGCTAGTCCCAATCTTTGCCTAGCCCATTCTCTAATTTTAGTCTGGAATCCCATCCCATCTTCTAGCTGCTAGAATAATGAATTTTTTCCATTAATTCTAACTTCCCAACTCAGCATAATTATTACATCTGCCTACAAGAATCTCATCAACACTTCAATCAGTCTTTGCATGTAGTTTATACTCAAGACTTCATCCTAGATCTTCTCTTATAAATTACTATCTGATTCATTTTAAAAGATTATATTTTAATGTTCATCTTCAAAGCAAATAGTTACAAATCTTTTTTAGGGAAGGAGTAGGAATAAGGTATTAAACTATAGGAAACCTTTACATCAGGCCAGAAATGCAATACCTCCTCTTCCCTACATTTTATAATATATACTTTCAAGACAAGTAGACTAAACAACCAACAGATATAAAGAAGGATTTCTATTTCTCTGGGTTCTTAATGTATTACTATTTGCTTATTAGTTGTTATCATTCACAATGCCTGTTCTGGAATTACAAGAAGTTTGTTTATGGCTAAATTTATCACAGATACTAGAACACTTAACAAAAAACACTTAAGAGAAAATCTCTAACAACAAAGTTGAAATTGATTATTCTTTAAGAGCTAAAAAAAATTCAAAACAATTGCCTCATTTTAAACTGCATTTTGACATAGCTATATTTCAAATAATCGCAGGTAAAGCCAAAGAAGTCTGATTCAAAGGAAAAGACAGACCAGATTACCAATATCTGTTTAAGTAACACTTAATAACAGCGCCTGCACGTATGAATTCTAGCCAGACCAAGGATGCTCAATGATATACTTACTCATCAGACAAAGAACATTCTGCATGTACATAATTCAGTGCTGTTTAGAGATAAGTTGTACCTTCTTCACTAAAATAAAATAGTTGGAGTCTGATATATACACAGTTTCCACTTGAACTAGGATCTCTTACACAGTTCTCAGCTATGACCTATGGGCATCTCTAATGGCCTGCAAGCCAGTGTGTCACTTTTTCCTCAGCCTGCTTCCTGAATGACTACTCTCTCCACCCCATAAGCCTGCAGAATCAAGATCTCCTGCTGACTCAACGCAAAAATCTTCTATGTCTTCGTAGTTTCAGCCTGCAACAGGGACCCCCATCAGAGCATGTGTCGTGGTGTCCACAGAAAAAAAAGACTTTAACTATCAGTTTTTACCAAATGTGGCTTCCTTTTGAATATAAGAGCATCTATGGCTATTCCCTTCACACATAACTTGAAACATAACTGTTGTAATACAAGCATTTGAAGTCATTTTGGACTAACTCTTGCAAATGAGTATATAATTGTGTGCATTCATCTGTAACATAACAACATTCCCTCCCTCAGCTTGTGAAGTTGTTCAGAATTAGTTAACAGACACTACTGAAAAAAAAAAAAAAAAAGCATGGACTCAAAGTATGCAAAAATGAGAGATGACAGACTTTGTGAAATCCAAAATTACGGAGTGAAACTTCATCCAAACACCACATCTTCACAAACAATAAACTAAACAACTGTAGAGCCTACACTCTTGGGAAATTAACTATTGTTAAAAATCACATGTTTGAAACTTGGCCCTAATTCTGATGGCTGTTTCTCAAGTCCACTAGAGAAACTAAAAATAACAAAGTCTTGTCAGTGTCACATCAGCTCAAAGCTTAAACATACAGATAGATGCATGGTATTCCAGAACTTTCTACCTTGTCAGACACATTTTCAACTAGCAAGTGTAAATATATCATTCTATTTTTCTTCAGGTGTATACTAACATTAAATATACTCCATTAAATACACTCATCCTGCAGAAATACCCCATGGAATTTTTTTTTTTTTTATAGCCTTCCCACTAATCTTTGTGAATATGTTTCCTTTTACATATAAAAGCCCATCCACCATAGCAACTAGGTGTGTCAGAATTAGAAAACAAAAGAAAAGTGTAAGCCAAAAAGGATATTATCTAATTAACTGGAAAATATACAGATTATAAGAACCCAGTCATGACTCTAATTAAAACTTAACTAAGCTGGAAGAGATCAACAGAATATAACAAATACTTTGGTAGTATTTTAGAAATATAATTATTTTGAAAAAAGCATTATCCTAAGAAATCAAGTTTGAAAATACAGAGCTAAGGCATCTACAAGCTTTATCTTTTGCCTTTTAATAATGGTTGCTAACAGCTAAGCATGAATGGAAATACCTTGTATATCATATGCCTTCCTCCATCCTCCCTCTCCTACTACAATTTGCTTTCCCTTTTCACACGATCTTCTAACCGTCTTTCCTATTCATTTTCTTGCACAGAAAACTCGCCCCTCAACTCTCTTTCCTTCACCAGTTTCTAACTTGTCCACTTGGTCAGATTCCTTTGCAAAATACCTTACTTTTCCAGTGATCTGCTCTCCAGATTGCCTCCTTTGAACAAAATTTTGCAGATTTTGGGAACACCATCTAGCACTAATCAACAGCACAGACATTATCTACTTGACATCTTTCACATCTGAGTAGACAACACACTGATGCCTGTGGGGCTGCATTTTCATTACTGCTACCACACGTTACTAAGGCAGGCTTAAACTCAAGTATGTCTCTAACACTGCCTGTATATCTTCCTGTTGCAGTTCAGATACATCCTTGGGAATTAGGTAAAGGCCTGCTGTTGAAACCACGCTCTAGGACTAGGGATTTAAAACCTGAGATGTTTGGTTTTCTTTCACTCCACAAGTTAGGGAAATCCATTGCCAAAATGTAACCACAGAAGCAGGAACGAAACATTGGGATATTTGATGGAAAAATTCACCCTGAACCACTTCTGTATACAGCATGATACCATGCAAGACTGCTCCCTGTAAGGAGAATTTGATAAAACAAGTGTCATGTGGTAAACTTATAGCTCTGATAATGCTATAGTTCCATTCAACTGGTTGTTGGTTCTATTTTTAAAGACAGCATAGGACTGTACCATTAAAAGGTTGCGAAATTTTGTCAAGGTCTTGAAGTTAATCAGAAAATCATGTACTTTTTAAATGCCTCGCAGTTCAACTAAATTTGAGCATCATTCATTCCTTGAAGAGGCAGTGCTTCAATGTACATATCCCAAGTGAATATTAAAAGACCTGTTGAAATCACGAGGATTCATGGCCTTTCATAGGAAAGGCTAAAATAACTTTCATAAAGGTGCTACAAAAGCTTTCTTACGAAATTTTAAAACAGAACCACATATACGGAGTCACTTTAAGTTCCCTTGTATAAATTAAAGACTAAAAGGTACTTAAGCAGCGCAATCCTTTTTCCTGCACATAGTACAAACAATGAGAAAACCAATGTGTGATACACTAGTGCTTTTATCAAAAAAAATAAAAAATAAAAAATAAGAATGCCGCTTTCTCCTTTTTTTTAAAAACAGATGCCACAGTTCATGGGCTTCTCTTAGAGAATGATGCAAATAGCCCAAGTGTGAAATATCAAAGGCAGAACTTCCACAATTTCAAAGCAAACGAGAACTAGCAAACTAGAGAGCCAAAGTGACTGCTTTAAAGAAAAGCTTCTTCCACTTACATCCTGCCTTCACAGTCAAATATTCTAAAGACAAAAATCTGTCCTACCTGTGTAGCTTTGTCTCTCATACATGGAACAGCCTGCCCATGATTATCACGAGGCCACTGTCCAGCAAGGTAGGGAGCAGCAAGTGTATCCAGTGAGGAAGTGCGGCGAATAATACTGGAAGGGCTTGAGGAAGGTGGTCTTGATTTGTCAGCTGGAGCAAGAACATTGGATTAGAAAGAAAGCAAATCATAGAGCTTAATTATTTTAATTATCTACAATAAGTCATATCAAATCAGAACTACCACGTTATTAAGTATAGAACAAGACACTTTCAATATAGGAATTAAGTTTGCTATTTCAGGTTCTATTCAGTATTAATACGCAGTGCAATGTGTTTTTATGCTTTCCCTGAAAACTTCCTATATCAAAAATGGGGCACTGGTACCTATAAACCACCATTTATTCCCTCAAAAGCACATCAGTCACTGGATTCTTCAACAGTTAAGGCCTCAAAGAAAATAAAGTCCCTAAGTTTCCTTATACCTGGCAAAGACTAACAAAGAAAATCCATGCTGAAGTTTTTCAGTTTAATGCCGAGTTTATTAGAATTCATACCACTAATCCTTTACCTTTTGTCTACTTGAATTCAAGGGGCACTGTAAGCCGATAAGTTTTAGTAACCACTCAAAATATGACACATAGCAGATTTGTAAAAAGATACGTCTAACCCTCAATTCTAGAAGTCAACTTTCATTAGATAATGATTTACATATTACAAGACAATCAAGGCATTTCCTCCCTTTACATGCTACCTGGTACCTACATCCACATTCACCTGACGCTTCACCTTCTGCAAAATGTTATCCAGCATTTTTAGTGTTTGTATTGACAATGCTTTTCAGAGCAATCTAGATTTTAAGAGGAGCCTTTACTGAAAAAAATCTTTAACAAATGTAGGAAGTGAAAACAGAAGGACGAATATGGTTAAGAAAAAAAAAAAAAAGGAAGAAAGAAAGAAAAATTTGCACCTATCCCATCTATCAACTCTATTTTAAAGTGGAGCTACAATAAAGAATTAAGCTACAAGCTAGTTAAGCGTCAAACACTATAAAGAAAGGTTCCTCAACATAGGATTTGAGGAGGCTTGTGAAATTAAAGAATTGGCAAACAGGAAAGAGATAGGCTTTAGATACACATATAAGCTCACACATACACTCTATTTGTTGTTAGCTACTCCAGATCCAAACTGCCAGTCCAGAGATCACAATGATTTAAACTTACTATCAATCCATCTAGTTCTCCTCACAGATTTATACCTGAAAAATATCATACATCAATCCGACCTATGAAGAATATAAAGGGATAAAACAAATGTCTAGAACACAGCAAACGATATGGAGACCAGACGGAAGCTTTAGAAGAGCACTGGGAAGAACTCTTAGTCATATATACTTCCCAGCTGTGCCGTAGGACAACTTCTGCACTAGAGGTAGTAATAATACGGCAATTGACGTTCTATATAAACTCATTCCTGTGTAAAAGAAATCATCTGTGACTCCTATCAGTCAAAGAATGAAAGCATTGCCTTTAGAAGTCCAGAATTCAATTCCCCAGCAGCTTTAACCTAATAAAGACTTGTAAAAATTAAAAAAACCTGTTATGCGTAGGTTTCAGTGGTGTGGACAATGTTTTAGTCTCTTAGAACACTAGTCCTTCAAATTTAAGTCTAGTGACATTCTATAATAAATATGGCTCATGCAAATATTGCATTAGAAGAGTATACATTAAAACAGTGAAAAATATTTCAGTTTCTCTAAAAGGAAATAATTACCAGTGCTTTAAATCAGCAACTGGCACATAAGTTAGTCCAGAATCCTCAACTGGTTAATTATTTCTAGTGGAACCAACAACCATCAAAATTTTATTATTGAGGTCATAGCAGACCTGCTCTCAGGGAGTAGCAGCAAATCTTAATCTAAAAAGTTACTACGCAATTGAAGAGTCCTGCATCAAAGAAATTGACTTACTACTACCATACAGCACTCTGAAGGGTACCTTTCAGAGACATCAAAAAGATTCCATTTGTCTGTACCATGGAAGAAGATAGCAGGCTAACGAAACACGTCATTTCTTCAGAATTACACTTAATTCCAATGTTACATCAAACATGCTATTTGTCTGAGAAATAGCTGCCATACTCTGCCTAAACATTTATTTTTCTTCCAAATTATTGTTTTTCCTTTTCAAGACGTTTCCTTCTTTTTACAAAGGGGAAACAGAAAGGATGTTAAAAAAAAAAAAAAAATCAGAAAGCGTGTGTGGTCAGTCACATCATTTGCAAAGCAACTGCAACAGACATCTTCAAAATTGAAGCAGCATCAATTTTTACTGCATCCCCTCCCCCACCAAAAAATGGAAGGAGTATTTCACCAGGCAGAGAGAATGAAAACTGAAAGGCTTGTTTGCTATTTAAGTTCGAGTGAAGCTGCTTATTTTAAGGCACAAAGCCTAAATGCACCTTCTTTTTTCCTTTAATTTAAATATTTCTTCAAAATTAACTACATTATGGAATTCTGATTTCAACTCATTGTTTATTTATATTGGGCAATAACTGCTGATATTTGAATACGTTTTTCCACTTTTTTTTTTTTTTTAAGCAAGCACTATACTATCACAACATATCTTAACACAAATTGCCAATGTCTACTATTGAAACCCTCTGGGTGTTTCAGAACACTTCAGTGGAAACATTTACAATGTTTTCATTGCATTTTCCTCTACAGTTCTTGAAGCAAGCGCTCAGCTGCTATTTTCCCTTTATGTGACCTACATAACAAGAGATCTGCCTCCATAGAGATAACAGTTACAACAGCTGTGGCTGATGAAAAACAATGGAGCTGTTTCATCAAACAGAAGCTTCTTAAATATTAGATCTGTTTTAATTGGCCTGATTATCTCTTTAAATCAATATTTGTGACAAATGCCAACTCCTATCCCCCCTACTCTAAATTTATCTAGAAACAAAATTTTTCTGCAATGTGGTCTCAAATAAAGCAAAATAATTTTTAAAAGTTTCAACTGAACATACATGATACAAATAAAAAATATATATATAACATGGGAAAACAACAGGCTAGTCACCAAGTCTCCACAAGTCATTGCAGCACACGTGACAGAAGTGACTACAGGTTAACTGCTATCACACACATCTAATGCAATTGTAAGACGAAGCATGCACCTGTGAAGATGATTTAAGCTAAGGCTGTAGAACAATATGACGGAACAGTGTAGAATTAAACAAATATAGATGCTTAACAATAACTATGTGAAAGTTAGTGAAAGAGAACACTGACTTTGATGTGCCTTTCTTTTTTCTAAAACATACAAGTTCTACAGCTACTACTATAATAACAATTGAAAAAAGGAAATCTTATTCTGAGCACACATATCTTGGAATTGGACACCTGACAGGAGAAAATTGTTATATATAAAAAGAGAGAAGGTCTCTTTCTCATGAAAAGGTCCTAGGAGTTAAAAAAAAAAAAAAAAAAACACACTCTGAAGATTCATCTTTGCCTTAATTTTCCTAAAAAAATTCAGAACTGCTGTTAGAAGTGCTTGAACCACAAAACAAGGATTACTGCTGAAGAATAACCTGGAGATTGCTCTCACATCCCTGCTGATATCTTTCTAAGCATTTGCAATTAAAGTTTTCCGAAAGGAAAATAAAAGCTCCGAATAACTAATTTCTAACAGGCACTATGAGAAAACAAAACAAAAACAGCAAGTAGCAGAAAGTGCCACAGGAAAAGTACACGATGCCATTAATCTCAGAATCAAGTTCTCTGACATAGAAAGTTCCAGCTGAAGTTTTTTATACACCTGGGATATCCAAACAGTGAGATATAACTAGCTTCTCTGGCATCTAGTAATAGAGCTGAGAGGTGTTTTTTAGGTCAGCCTTTTCCTCAGTAAGGACACACATAGTATCTCTCCCTTCACACACAGCTCTCTTTTCCCCCAAAAATCATAAAAATGCAACACCTTTCAGACTACAACCACTTGTTCATGTTTGGTTGAAAGCATTCAATAGGCTCAAATGGTATTAAGAACAGACACATAGCACAACTGCGTATATTAACTTTGAAAGATAGTTTTCACAGAATCACAGAATAGTTGGGGTTGGCAGGGACCTCTGGGGATCATCTGGTCCAACCCCCCTGCTCAAGCAGGGTCAGCTACAGCAGGTTGCCCAAGACCGTGTCTCATTGGGTTTTGAGCATCTCCAAGGATGGAGACTCCACTACCTCTGTGGGCAACCTGTTCCAGCGTTCAACCACCCTCACAGTGAAGAAGTGTTTGAAGAAGTGTTTTCTTTACGTTGAAGTGGAACTTCCCATGTTTCAGTTTGTGCCCATTGCCTCTTGTCCTGTCATGGGGCACCACTGAGAAGAGTCTGACCACCTCCTCTTTACACCCTCCTATCAGGTTTTTAAGCCCACTGATAAGATTCCCCTCCCCTCCTCTCCCCTCCAGACTAAGCAGTCCCAGCTCTCTCAGCCTCCTCTCATATGAGAGATGCTCCAGTCCCTTCCTCCTCTTTGTGGCCCTTTGCTGGACTCTCTCCAATATGTCCATGTCTCTCTTGTACCGGGGAGCCCAGCGCTGAAGACAGCACTCTAGATGCGGCCTCATCAGCACTGAGCCGAGAGGTAGGAACACCTCCCTTGCCCTGCTGGCAATGCTCTGCCTAATGCAGCCTGGGATGCCATTGGTCTTCTCTGCTGTGAGGGTGCACTGTTGGCCCATGGTCAACTTATTGTCTACCAGGACCCCCAGGTCCTTCTCTGCAAAGCTGTTCTCCAGCTGGTTGGCGCCCAGTTTGTACTGGTGCATGGGTTTTGGGTATAATCTTCACATAAATTGTCACCTATGTAAAAGAACTACTCACACTCTAGTGTCTAGTAATTTAAAATCATTACCAGTAGGGGAATGACTGAATTAATGCTGTTTTACAAAACCAAACCTCAGAAAGCCCAAGATGTTCAAGTTAGTTACTTCCAAAGAATAAAAACATTTTAAATTCAAATAAACCTCCCAGCAGTGGTGGCCACAAGAAAACTAACAATGAGATTGTAAAAATGAGTTCACTTTGTTTACCCCTACCATTTGCTGAACAGCTTAGGTAAGCAAAGCAGGCACCTAACACTGCACAAGACCCTCTGCATTATCTTTTCCTCCAGTTATGTATAACTGCTGCAAAATCTTGTAATTAATGTTGACAAGTCTGCAGGTATCACTTTGTCATTCTCCAATTAAAAGAAATAAATTCTACAATGAAATTTAAGGGCATAATGGAGTTCCAGTCCTTCTCCCCACCCCAAGAAGGGGTTCTCAGATGAACTCTTCAAGACTTTCTGATATGCTATTATATCATTTTCTGTCACTTCCTTTCATGTAAGTAGGCTTTAATACTACTCTCCCATATACTGAACAATTAAAAGACAATGTAGTCCCAGATAAAGATAACTAATTTTCCTCCTTAATTTTCAGACTGACATTAAATATCCAGTAATGCCAACAGCAATATAGCAGAAAGTTCACTATCCAGTAAAGATATCTCTTACAATCTCAAGACACCTGAATTGGCCAGTAAACAACTGTTACGGCACCGGTCTTTTCTTCTTCTTCACGTAGCCTCATGCGTCTTAACATTTTTGGAGCTGAACACCTCTGATGTGCTTACTCTTTCATTTGCATACCTAGTCACACTTTTTCTGGTACCCCTCATGTATCTACTGACCTCCCTTGGTATCTTGGTAGCTTGGTAATCCAATCGTCTGGCTATCAAAGCTCCAACTGTACCTTACTCATTGTCTCTGAAGAGTACTCGTAGTTTACAGTTGAACTCTTTTTAGATCTATTTTATATAGGAACACAAATAACTGAAGATCATATTTGCTCTTGACTCAGCAGATCAACCAAGATAAAAATAATAATAGAAGTAGAGCATATACATTTTGGAGCAGTCTACTAGTAGGTCAAAACGAGATGTTTTGTTCCCAGTCTAGCACATATACTTTCCTGTTTTAAACAAGGATATTCTGAAATGCAAATCATATCTCATGACATTCTCATTGGAAAGCCCTAATGCCACTATACATGAGGCTCTCTCTGCTGGAAATACTTTTGACGAAAGGACTTCTATGATTTTCTCTGTGCTGTCACACTGACCATTCTCCATTCAGCTGGTGGAGCCCA